CCTATTTCTCTGCTCTATCTCTGTGACTGACTCATTTAATTGGAAGGTGTTATCTTCAATCCCTGAGATTCTTTCTTCTGTTTGATCTACCCTGTTCTTGAGGCTTTCCACTGTGTTTTGTAGTTCCTTGAATAAATTCTTCATTTCCAGGAGTTCAGTTTGATTTTTCTTTAATATTTCAATTTCTTTAGTGAATTTTTCTTCCAAGTCCTGAATTTTTTCTTAGTTTCTTTGTGTTGGTTATCCATTTGTTCTTGCATATCATTGAGTTTTCTTATAATCCATGATCGAAATTCTTCTTCTGTCATTTTAGTGTTCTGAGTTTGGTTAATGTCAATTGCTAGAGAGCTGGTGTTCCTCTTTAGGGGTGTGCTTTCCGTTTGATTCTTCATACTTCCAGAGTTCTTTCGCTGGTTCCTTCCCATCTGGATCAGTTGTTGCTTCTTGCCTTTAGATTTTCATTTGGATAATGACACGCCCTGTTTAGTCTCTGAGCCAGTAGTTGGTGTTCGTGGGTGAGATTCGACCACACCCTTTATGATGAGTCAGTAGATGCAGTAAAAGGGTTTGCAGAATGACCTCCCTGTCAGCAGGTGGTGCTTGCTGGGAGGAGCAGTTTGCAGTGTTGTTTTTGGGTCCTGTAACCAGCTCTTGTTCCTCTGGAGAGGCACTCTTGTGCCTCAGGTGGTGGGTGGGGCCCTGGGCCTTCCAGGTGTGTCCTTATTCTCCACCTCAGTGGGGGCAGGTCTGGGAGTGAGTCTCTGTGGAGCTGGGTTGGGTAAGCCTGCCCTCAAGTTCCACAAATGCTGTTAGGAGGGGCAAAGGTCTGTTCTCTGCTTCTGGGCAAAGCCGCCAAGGATGGGCTGAAATGGCCTCACTCAGCCAAAAAGTCTGTGTGTGGGACTGGGGTTGTCTGAGACCTGCAGTCTGGAGCAGGCTTCACTCCTTTCCACCCTCCCTTCTTCCGTGGTTTCTCCTGGGCCTCTGCCAGCCCGTAGGACCTCAAGCCAGTGGATCTCCCCTGGCTGTGATGTGGGCCGGGAGGTTCCCTGCCCATAATCGCAGCCTGGGCTGGGCACACAGCCTTCCTGTGGGAGGAGGGTTGCCCCTCAAGCACGCTGATCTGCCCCTGAAGGCACACACACCTCAGTAGACTCATTCACAAATATCCCTTTTGTGCCCCGGCAATGTGATCGAGACCTGGGTGTATAGGATCTGGCCGGCAGGCCTGTCCCCTGGGCCCTGGAGATCAATCCCTGACCCTGCCAGGGGGAGGAGTGCTGGTCTCAAGTCACCCACGGGGTGCCCAGACTGGATTGATGTCACTCCACCTCGTGATTTGCCCCGTTCTCCTGGAGTCACCAGGCTAGCAGCACCTGGGAGGGCTGGCAGGTAGGGAGCTTACAGTCTGAGTACCCTTCAGTCTGCTGTAGGGCTCCAAAAGGAAAGGTCCCGCTCCTTGGAGATGCCTCCGTGTGATGGCTAAATTGTCTCTCTGGGCACCCACGGGTAGGGAAGGGGAAGGAGAGAATGAAGCAATATGGCGCCTGCCGATCAGCTTGGGTCTGCGCATGGGGAGGTGCCCCAAGGGAGCTGGGAGCCTGGTGCTCTGTCCTCAAGGGGCTCACCACTCACTGGCAGCAGCCATCTCTGGGCTGGTGTTGGCAGGTCTCTCCAATGGCTCAGGAGCCCAACAGCAGTCCGAGATTCAAGAGAGGGGAAAGTTAACTGCTCCACCTACCCTTGTCGCTGGTCTCCAAGCCTCTCGGGGGCCTTTCTCTTTCCAGTTCTCCTCTGCAACTTCCTGTGAAGTCTGTAGTTTCAGGCACCCTTCCTTCCAACCCTCATCCGATCTATTTTTGTCTGCTAGTTTATTTTTTTTTCACTTTCTTCTAAAATCTGTCTTTTTTGCAGAGACACTCTGGCTGGCAGTATTTCTCGTCTGCCATCTTGAA